GGAATGCAATGCAGACAGTGTTGGGCCCTGGTCAAAAGCTGGTGATGGGAGCTCTGAAGAAGACCCTAGAGTGAGCTGCAGTGGAACCCAAACCACGGGCAGCAGAGAGAGCAGGCTCAGAGGCACCGTGAAGCAGCATGCCCTGTGGTGCCTGTGCAGCAGATGGGGATGCTGGGCCACCTGTGCTGCTCCCCTGCACAAGATGAGCTGGAAGAAGTGTGTAAGTGCTGCCTGGCCCAACAGCAAGCACAGTGCCAGGAGTGGCACAAGGGCTGCCCTTCCTTGGGAGTGGTGGAAATGCAGTCCTGTGAAAGCATAAAGCAAGTGCTGCCAAAAAAGGTGTACCTGGATTCACTCAGGTGTAAACTGCAAATGTGGAGCTCTTTGAAGTACAATTATTCTCTTTGCTTAGCTTCAAGCCCTGAATAGGCATTTACACTGATGGGGACAGTGGAGGTCTGCCCTCCCTGTGTCCAAACTGCCTCAGCTCCAGCACTCCTCACTGCAGTGACTCTCATGGGCAGCTTTATAAAAAAAAAGGGCAAAGCAAAGTAAAGCAAAACACATGCACACCCCACCACTACCACCTTCGCAAGAGGAGATCCCTCATTCTCTCTGCGCAGGATTTAGTCTGTGTCATCAAATTCCTCTGCAGCTCTCAGTTGCTCAGTTCACATCTCCCAGGCTCCTCGCCAAGCCCGGTGCTGTGTCCTGCACACTGTCCGCTCGGCTCTGCGCTGCTGCCCACTGTCCCAGCAAGAGCAGACCTGCAGCTCCAGCCCCCCAAAGCGCCTGTTTTGCTGGAATTCTGTTTTTCCCTCAATTGGAATGCAATCCAAGAGCTTCACGATTTGAAATGACACTGAAAGACGTTTTTAAGCCGGTTTCAAATACGATTTTGCATTGCTGTGCAAGAATTTCAGCGTCGTAACATTCGTTTCTATTTTTAGGCCTCTGAAAACAGATAGGAAAATACTGATGACATCAGCATTTGGTGAGTGTCAACTACCCCATTCGCTACCAAATGGAAGCTGCACAGGCTGGAGATGGATATCTTACACCGTTACATGTAGCTTCTATGTGTGATGATGTAAAGCTTATTGAATACTACAGCAGAGACTGAACAGTCTCCAGAGGTCCAGAGAAAAGGTTTGTTGGTCCTCCCTTCACACGCCAGCAGTGGCAGTACCAGCAGCTTGAAACAGCGAGGGGGGTATTGACACGAGTGAAAAATTCTCTGTGTAACATCAAGAGTGAAACATCAACACACTCCAAAACACTTCGTAAATGAAAAATTTCTCCCTAATTTTTTTTTTGTTGTTTGTTTGTTTGTTTAAAATTGGATGAAGCCAGTGCAATTTCTAACAGAAAGCCATTAGGAGGAAAAATGCATTAAATCCAGCCAGTTCTATCCAGCTCTTCCTCACTTTTTATTTACCTCTCTCTGTGACACCAACAAACTGCTTTGTCTTGGTGGGTAGTTCCCTTAAGCCTTGCTTCATACTGCAGACCTAACATGTTGTTTTAGCACTTTCCTGCTGTGTGCCCCAGGTGACCGCCTGTGTTTCATGGACATTTGTAACCCTGCAAGATACAGAGGGGCCAGAGGAGCCCAGGCACAATCCTACACCTTCATGCTTCCTAAAACCCTGCTGGCTTTGCACCCTCCTGCAGCAGACCTCAGTTGCTAGGAGCATTCCTTGGGTTGGATCTGGGTTCCAGACCCCAGGATCTGGGCCATCTGATAGCTTGGGGGAATGGAGCTGGGAAATACCCGTGGCAGCCCCGCATCGCCTCCCAGCACAGCCTGTGGCTGTTTATGCATTCCTTTTGTCAGAGACCTGGCAACCAGCTTTTAATCCTAGCCCAGTGTGAATTAATTTTGGAGTAAGCTTTTGTATCGAGTGCTTTCCTAAGATGTAGCTGTATTACATCTGCTGCTCTCCCTTCATCCACTAATTCGCTAATTCTATCAAAAACAAGCATATGCTTTTCTGACACACAGCTTCCACAATGAAACAGAGCAGTGGAATAAAGGGCTTCATTTACTCAGGGAAACGAGTTATCTGAGGCTTGATCTTGTCCTCACTGAGGTCAGAAACAAAATACCCACTGACTTCCACGTGAGCTAACTTGGACCTTGTGGTCTGCTCTGGGGTTTGAGCCTGATCCTGCCTGAATGCTCACTGGAGCCAGGGCTGCCAGGGTGTCATCCTCCCCGCTCTCTGACATCAGAGACTGCTGGAAAGAAAAATGACTGTTGTGCCACAAATAGCACGATTGAGTCACTTTGCTACAGGATCAGCTCAAAGGAGGGGGAAATGGCTGGTGAGAAGGTACAAGGAGAAGGAGCAGAGCTGTGCTATCTTGCTTGGGCAGAAACAAACAAACGGGCCAACAAATGTTAAAAAAGAAGAACCAACAGAAATTGCCTTCTTCAGCTTTCTTCTATCAGAGCAACTCCATTTTAAAATCCTTTCAAAAATGCAAGACAAGACGAGATGGGCTTCACCCTACAGGAAGGACCTGCACTTCCCTTTCTGTTTGCAGAGCAAGTGTTGGTGCACGTGTACAAAGATAAAGGGAGCACAGGTGAATGTTTAGCTTGTTTTCTTACCTGCTTACACCTGCTGTGCACATGGCTGTGTATTTTTGAATACGTTCACAATACTTTGCACCTGCAAAACTGCACTTAACGCTTCTGTGGTCAGCAAAACCACAGGTGCAGGACATGACAGTCCAGACTGCAAGCCCTAAAGGAAACGTTATCTGTACCACTATGAATAAATTTTGAGACTTCAGGCATTCAGGGCACCTGGCTTGTCCCCCTGTACCCCAGTGCCTTCAAGGCATTAAAAGCTGGCCACCCTGGCCAGAGGCACAGCCCAGGAACAGAAGTTGCAATTGCTTGCTGCTTCATTTTTGCAGTTGCAGTTCTCTCCAGGGGCAAGAGAGCAGCTTCCAGGAAAACCAGCCAAAAGTTAAAACAACACAGGCAGCTCTTACTATGGCCCTGGAAATAACAGGGGCAAACAGCTGTCATTTTCTTTCTTTTGGCCTGCATGCAGTTTTCCTCAGCTCACCCATTTATGCAGGTGCTGGGAGGGAGCTGAGCTCCCCTGCCCATGCTGCAGGGCCCTGCAGGAGGACAGGGGCAGGAACAGTGCCGGAGGTGCTCATGCAGCATCCTTTCCCTGCAAATCTTCCATGGGCTTCCACTGCTCTTCACCCGTGCAGCAGGGTTCACACTGTTCGCTCTTGGAGCTGATTAAATGGCAGCTGATAAAAATATACTAGATACCAGCATCTCTGCTTCTTTTGCTGTGCAGGTGCATGCTAAAGTCTCCTACCAGCCTGGGGGAGGCAGCTCTGCACTCAGGTGGGCTGGCGCAGCAGCTCCAGCTTCACAGCACTTTGTGCCCCCTCCTTCACAACAGGACAGGATTTCTGCTCCTACATACCCTGATTCAAAGCATCTTCTTGCCCAGCCCAGCCTTCATACTTTGTTTAATGCAGCGGAGAAATCTGGGGTAGCCAGCTGGGTGAAGGTTACAATATTTTTGGTGAGTAAAGTTCAGAGCAGTATCAGCCAAGCAACATCACTGGCCCAAGGTCAAGAGATGGATGCTCTTGGGAAAGGAGAGGTGGAATTGGTGGAGGCTCACAGCTGAGCTTATTCCATCTTTTGCTGTATCAGAAGAGCAAGAAGCATACTCTATTCAGAAGGACAATTAAGTGCAGACATCAGAAGACCTACCTACTCCAGCCTGCTCCTTACCACAAGCAGCCACTGCTTCTCTTTTGGCTCTGCCATAGGGAAGCACTGGGTACAAGTCACCCCATTGTCCCTAGCAGAACAATGCCCTGTTTTGCTGTGCCCACACTCAGCCCTGCTCTCCTAGAAGCAGCACTGCTACTTAAAAAGGAGGAAATCATCATAGAAAGTCAGATTTTGTCACAAAGCACAAGGCAGCAGAAGAGCTGATACTGTAAATGGGAAGGGTGGGTGTACCCTCTTTGAAAGAGAAAGGTCTTTCCTCCCCCTCTGCTGCACTGGGACTTAAGCCCAGAGCTGCTACCACAATCACTTGTGAATGTGGAGGCAGGTCGAAAAGCCAGCTGTGAATTTTGGTAGTCGAAAAGGGAATAAAAGAAAAAAAGAAAAAGCAAAAAACACACAACACAAAAAAACACCCACCCAAAAAAAAAAAAAAAAAAAAAAAAAAACCAAAAAAAAAACTAGGCAAACAAAAAACTGTCAAAGCAGACAAACACAGGGTTGGGGAAACCATTGCCTAGATCTCAGCTACACTATCCAAAACTGTGCTGCACTTCTACTTACAGCTGCAGACTTCTCTTTTAGCCCCTACCTGCCCTGGCATCTCCACAAATCCAAGTAACACAGCAAGCCAGCCTTCACTGCACTCAGAGTACTTTCAAATTCTGTGGACTGCCAACACAAATCTGTTCTACACACCACAAGAAGTCTCCTCACTGAGGACCATTCCCCTACTAAATATTGACTTTCAAAGCACAACCATCAAAATTGCTATGATAAAGACAAGCAACTTTTTTTTTTTTTAATGGTCCAAAAACATTTCTTATATTTCATGGTCAAAAATGACTGAAATGTTTGGATTCAAGTGCTACGGAAGTTAGGTACTGGAGTAATGAATTCTTGTGTCTCTAAGCCAAACTTACAGAAAATTATAAGCAACTGAAAATGAGTTTTTCAAATGGAAGTGAATGCACTGTATAACGGTAACCTGAAAAGCACAGAACCAACTCTTCCAATCTCCAACACCTGTCTATAGCAGTAGAGAGATCTTTGGCAGTCTGAAGGTAACAACCATTTCCAGCCTGGAGAAAGATGCTTAAACCTGTGCAGAACCTGGGTATGGCTTGGGTCCCTGTCTGAAAATACGAGAATATCATTCAAATGAAAGAAATTTAGATGATCATTCATGAACATAACCAACAAGAATCCCCTTCACACCTACCTCAGGCCATACAGAACCGTCCCATCAGGATGGAGCCGAATCATGCGATTCTTCACTGTCACCCCATGCAGAAAGGACTTCTTGTCATTCAGGAAATAGGTGTCTGGCAGCCACAGCTGGTCAGCCACCCGGTTGTCCAGGGTCAGGTTGAGAGGAAGGTCGTTATATGCCAGGCGTTTGTCCCGCCAGCTCTGCTGGAAGTACATGGTGATGGTGTAGTCCTAGGAGAGAAACATGCAGAGACATAACTCAGACCCTCTCTGCTGCCACTGCGGAGACATCTGGTGGGTCTTTACCTTTGCTGGCACCCAGATGCTTCTTTCTGAACCACCACCAGCTGGGGAGGGCTGTGTTTTCTTCTGGGAAAATGGAAATAAGGCAGTTGCTAAAAGCCACTTCTAGTCTGAGCAGAAATTCAGGAAGCTCCCAAGGGCACGTGGAAAATCTTACCTCCGGGCCAAGGATTCAAAGTCAGCCCAGGCCAGCCATGACAAGCTATTAGCGCCTGCCTTGTTATACGAGCAGAGTTGGGAGCTCATCGAGATTCTTGGTGAGGGACATATGTGGAGGAAATCTGTCACCAGTGGAGCATGATCGACTGGGTGAGGGGCAGCGCCCTAACCATCCCCAGCCCCTGCAGTGCTGTATGTATCTCCTGCTCCCTTCCACTCCAACTGTACAAAGCTGAAGCTTAAAACAGCAGCTAAGTCAAGATTTTTCTAAAGGGAAGGGAGAGATGTTTTGTGGCCCATAGCTGTAGCCTTGCAGAAACTACTTTAGATGCTCTACAGTAACAGTATATCCTGGAAAGGCCTAAAGGCCCCAAATCAGCTTATTCACCAAGACATACACAGTGCTGCGGCGCTGTGATGGAGGGATGTTTCCTTCCAGATAAATGAGTGGGACAGGAAGGGATCTTGTACAAAATGATAAAATATTCACTCAACAGCTCTTAAATAGGCCAGGAGCCAGATTTTTATGGGTAACCAGCTAACAAGATGTAGATAAGGAAGAGGGCAGGGGAAACCACGTGCAGAATCTTACAGAAACCAGTAACTTTTCATAAGTCCCTAAATAAAAAGCACTCTGCAAATGCACGCAAATGAACTGTTGGGGTCAGAGATATGTTTCTTCCTATGCAGATACGGACAGCACAACAGGAGCCCCCTGAACCATGCAGGTTTGCATGAGGGGCATTTCTGCTGTGCAGAGGAGGGCTGGTGAGGACCTTGATTCTGCACTAACATCTGGGCTGAGCGCAGAGGCATCCTGCCTGCCCACCTTCTCCCACTTACTTTACTCAAAGCCAGGTTTGGTTACCTCTGAAAACAAGCTCCAATAATCCCACTGTATGTGCCATGGCATGCCAGGGTTTGAGTGCCTAACTGATTCAAAAATCTAGACCCACATGTACATCCAAAAGGTCACGGAGCAACAAATATGTGGTGTTGTCTGGATACAAAAGTTATTTCTGTCACCTTTGCATTATATTGAGAAGGAAAAAAAAATAGTGCCTGTTTTCTGGCCTAGAAATTGTTTTGCTATGATTTTTAAAGGACTAAACTCTTGCTAACTCTTGCTTCCCAATCCATCCCTCATTCTGATTTTGGTTAAGGACCCTGCTAAAAGAAAATGTTCTCCCTGCTTACCTCTCCCAGTGGGTAAGGAAAGGCAAGACCTGTGTTGGAAGGACCCACTCTGCTCTGCCCAGCAGCTCTCAGTGAGCTGTCAGCCCTGAGCCCCCTCTCAGCCTTTGCAGAGGCTTTGCTCTCTTCTCCTCCTGCTACCCATGTGATGCATGCACAAAGCAGAGGTGAGAGTAGCACGTGGAGCTAGCAGACACTCCAGACCTCCTGTAAGGAGGGAGAGCAGCACATGTTGAGGCCAGCAAAAGCCCCAGAGAATGAAGAGGAGCTTATCTGAAGGCCTCACATGTTAAAATGGCAGTGCATCCTACCAGCTAATGAGGACAGGGCTGTTAATGTACATCTCCAAACAGCTGAATGTGACTGATAGCTCATCCTTTCTGATGCAGGACTTGAACAATGAAAGGCTGGAATGTGGACACAGGAGGGGTATGGATGGAGAAAGGTATCTCCTGCAGAACTCCAGAGAGGACAAATGCAGAGCAACAATATGAGGGTCTCCCATTTTCCCCAGTTAACAAGTAATTGTTAACTGCTACTTCTGCTTACAGAGTTCCACCTTCTTTTGTAAACATGATGGTTACTGAGCAATATACAAACAACTAAATGCACCGAAAAAAACCACCACAACAACAAAACAACAGTAGAAAGGCTCTGATAGAAGAAGGAAGCAGCAAGGGAGGAAAAATAGTGCACAGATTAAATAATAAATACTAAGCAGAGGCTTAAGATGACAGCATCTGATTTTCTGCAGTGGGTCGCTGTACAAGAACAGGCTGAAGGTAAAGTAATGAAAACAACTTTCCACAGAAGCAATGGAACTTGTTACAAAAGCAGGAGGTCAGCTGCTTTACGGTGTTCTGGAAGGCTCAGGCATGATGTGGAGTCCTCCAGGTTAGAAAAGGGAGGGACTAACATGCCAGGAAAGGAGAACAGCCCAAGGATGCAGAGCATCCTGCTGCAAGGCAGAAGCTCTAGCTCCCAACAGACAGACACCAGAAGCATCCCTCCTGGGCAGGTTGCTCATAAACCATCAGCACAGCTCCTGGCAGACGTGGATCATTGGAAGGTTGATCTGATTGGTTTCCTCTGTGTTATGACCTATACAGACCCCAGTACAAAACCTGACCAGAGGCAGAAGTGTGCAGTCTTGTTGCAGGCTACAGTAGATTCAAAAGCCAGAATTAGAAATTGAAGGAATACTACACGCAAAAGAGTCAAATCTTTGCTTAGAATACAGTATTATTGGCAACATGGGTGTCTCCTGTGCCTAGCCCACGTCTCCAGTACCTTTCTTCTAAAGTGAGAAAGCTTTTAAAGTGAAGGCAACAATTTCAGACTACATTTCACCAAAAACTTGAAAGTTGCTGGAAGCAATGAGGAGAATAAAGGCCATTTTACAACTTACTCCATCTCCAGATGTGCCACTTAATTTTGTCCCCCAGTTTTCCCTCCACCCCTAACTTTGACAAAACAGCTCCCTTTGGAGAAGTGACCAAATAAAAGTCCTACCCCATATAAGCAAATGACATATGGTCTCCTTGTCCAAGATCATAAAAGAACATTAGGAAAGCCAAGATGCTTCAGAAAGAGAGAGAAAAATGGAACATCTGACTTAGTAAAAACCAAGCTGCCACTGCCAGAGACTAATGAACAGTTTGTTGGCTTCAGCTTCTTTGATGATTAAACACCAGCTCCTGTTCCCATCATTCCTGGGAGAGAAATTAAAGGACAAAGTAGTCCTCCAGTATGTTTTATTTTAAGGAGAGGGCAGGGAAAATAGGAATTATTTTTAAGAGAAGGAGAGAATGTGCCTACAATCTTTTGCAAAGAAACAGAGCAGTGTAAAATGCACAAGAAAATATATGAAGGACAGGGCAAGATGGCTACAGTTCTTAGCAAGCTTGTTTAAGAAAACTCCTTTGCCCTCACAATGGATTGTCCATTTCCATGCAGATAAAACAAATCAACGTGTTCTAGATCTTAAAAAGCACCAGTTAATCTGGCATTAGTAAAGGCACAATGACAATCTTTCCTTCTCCAAGACAGCACTAAGTCTGTCTTAGGCTCTCACCTTTGCCTAGGGCAGGAGGCAGCAGCTCTTGTACTTACTGTGCTCTTCATGGGGAGAGAATTCTGCCAACATCCTGCTTTTAATTTATCTTCTGGTGCAAGCCAGTGCCCAATTTACAAGTCTGAAGTTCTGCATGACAACTGCTATACTTAAAGTGACAACTATTGTAGATATTGTCCTTCTTCCTGTTCTTCAACTTAGAAGGAGAGAAATCCAGAATCTCTTTCCATCTACCCTAATTTTGAATAACCCAATATCTCCAGATATAGGTGACAGGAGAACCACATTGTACGTTGCCAACAATGCAATGGAACAAATGTGTTTGCTTCTAGGACAGGCTTTGTGCACCTCTGTACAGCAGGTCTTTGTGATCTTAAACTCATTTTTCTTAGGACATTGGAAGAAGTTTGCATGGAGATGTTTCCCCTCACCAATCTGATCTACTTTTTAGTAATTTGCATGTGTTTAATTGCTGAATGCATGTCCAGAAACTGGGACATATCAGCTGTATCCTCAACAACTAGGGGTGTGCCAGTGAAGTGTCATCTTGTTGCCCTATTTCTCTCCTGCCACACTCCATCTCTATAGCATCTGCACTGGTGCTAGTCCTGCATTATGTTAGCATGCTACATGTTTGCATTTTGCACACCCACAGCAAACCATAGAATGGCACTGCTGGCTGCATCCCATTTCTTCACCCATCTCCCAGCTTCCCCCAGCCCATCTATTTGTACTTCCTAGGAGCTACCCTTACTGCCTTGCAATATATTACCAGTGCCCCGCTGCATGCACATATGGGCATATCTAATATACAGCCATTAATGCTCAAAAATATGTATGTAATAATCATTTGTATCCAATTAAACATGCAACAACTGGCCTATTCAGCTAAACTGAATTTGAGTGAGACATTTAAGCAGTGACTAGTGAAGATACTGGTTTCTAAAGCCCTTAGATGGCTGAGGGGAGAACGCTGAACTATGCCAAAGGAATGGTGAAGCTGGAAGACCAATGACACTTCCTAAACTCTTTCAAAGGTGTTTCACAGCCTCTGCATGCACCTTCAGAGAATTTTCATTTTACAGTGACTTTCTTACCTTTTGCTTGCTGAGAGCTGCTCAATTCAAGTGGTCAACACTCATTATGCTTTCTAGCAGGAACAACACGGTAGCAATAAAATGCAATTTCACTAAAACATTCCCAGAACTCTTCATTCCTCTGGGCTATTATTTTTGAAGAATTATTATTATTTTTTAATGAAATGTCCTCTTCATCGTCTTGTCAAGAGGTTTATTGGACACCAATCTGGTCGAACCATACTCCAGACAGGAGATTTTCTGAAGCCTTCCAAATAGACACTGACTACCAGACACTAGAGGAAGAGAAGGGAGGAATGGCAAGGAGAAAAGGATACTTCTACATCCTTCAAGGGACTTAGAAGCCCACTGGAATTAGGTACTCTAGAAAACAGTCCTATGTCTCTCTTCCAGCTCAGTCAATG